TTGAAGCTGGCCCAGACGATCCTCTCTACTCCAGCCTGTGGGACGCCCAGCCCGAGGGCATTCAGGATGCCTTGTGGGATGGTGTGGTTCGGTATTTCGACAGGTCGGGGGAAACAACCAAGTTCACGTTCAACCGGTGCGAAAATCTGTGTTCGGACGGTAGTTGCTACTCCCCCACCCATGTTTATGTGGCCCGTGCGGGCTGGGCCGTCATCCAAATAGACGACGCAGGGGACTTTGTTAGAGCTGTGTGTGGTAACCTGCCTGGTTTCCTGCCGCAGAGTGCTGTGTTCGCCGAGCACTACGCTTTGCTTCAGGCCCTGGAGCATTTTGAACATACTGGCGAGGACGAGCCGTTCAGGCTGAACGTGGATTGCCAGGCCCTTTTTGCAGGCCCTCGAGATCAGAGGGCATCGACGAGCGGGAGAACACCGCTCAGTGAAGTCTGGAAAGTGCTCTATTCCTCGCCCCGCCCGCCTTTCGTGTTGAACAAGGTTAAATCTCATGTGGGGGATGAAGTGATTGGTATGGCTCGGGTTCACAAGCGTGGAAACGATTATGCCGACGAGTATGCTAAGGACGGGGCCAAAATGCACCCTGAGATGGCCCAGAACATTGTCAAGTACGAGCTGGCTCTGAGTAGTTGGGAAGTCTTGGCAGTAGGCATGGGCACAATTTTAGACAGCCTTCCAGAGGCAAGATCTCTTTTCGGCAAACTAGAGCGCGCCCCGAGAGTCCCCAGGCCCGTGGTCCTCCCCAGCGGCCTGAGGGCTCATCGTGTGCGTTGGAACGGGTGTAGGTGGCGGTGCCTCGAGTGCGCCCGTGCGTTTGATTCTAAGAATCCTAGGGGGTCCTGCGCGGCTTTAACCCCCTCTATGCGGTCTTTAATTAATCAGGTCGACAACCCCAAGCCCCACACACTGCATGTCGCCAAAATTGTTCAATCTTCTCTGCCAGTGGTGTTGTGCCTTAGGTGTGGGGCTTATTGTACTGGGGCCCCTCGTCAGCTGCTGAAGCCCTGTGGTAAAGTATTTGCACAGCAGAGGAGACAGCTTCTGAGAGGCGACCTTCCCTGGCCGCGGGGACAGAATATCACAAGCCCTTGGCCACTCAGCCTCGCGCCTCATGAGGAGGCGGAGTGGTGGACCAAGCTATTTTGATGGTGTTGTTAGATTTTCTTGTTGTGCTCGCCCTGTCGGGCGTTCTTTGGCCACTGCCTGCGGGCGGTGGTGGGGGCAGCCAGGCACCTGGGCCACTGCCCTGCGCCTGCATGGCGGTCCTGGCCTTCGGGCTCCGCCCTGCAGGCGCTGGGTAGTGGTGGTCGGTGGTGTTTGGGGGCCCCTGTGCAGCCCCTTCGGTCATAGATTGGTGGGTGCCAAGCGAGAGCCACTGGAAGAGGAGGAGGAGGAGGAGGAGGAGGAAGGATGATCGGAGGAGGATTGAGGAGGACCTCCCTCCTCACCCTCCCACTGCAGGGCCGCGGGCTGCATGGCGCCCGAGGCACTCGCGACGCGGCGCACCACGTCCACCGGCGGCCCGGAGGGCGGCGGAAGCGCGCAGGCGGGACGGGCACCCCGCTTCGTGAAGCGGAGGGGCTCTTCCTCCTCCTCCTCCTCCTCCTCCTCCTCCTCCTCCTCCTCCTCCTCCTCCTCCTCCTCCTCCTCTGGAGGGAAGCGGGGCGATCGGAGGCCCGGAAGCTGACACCGACACGAGTGATAGTCAACCCGCATAGTAAAGAGGAGCGATTTTCCAAGGCGACACGCCGGTCGTTGAAGGTAGGTATTTTTGGATGCCCACATCCTAAGCTATTTTAGGCGCCTTCCTACTTCAAGAGTCGAGCGGTGTTCCTTCTTTCTTCCTCTTCAGGGGGCGGTTGGAAGCCCCATCTACTTCAACGCCTTCCTACTTCATGTTTCAACCCACTTCTTCCGACCGGCGTGTACATCATTGCCCCTTCGGCCCATCTTCAACGACGTTCGCTGGCCAACCTCGCTCGAGAAACGTCGGCACGGCCCTCCAAGGCCCTTTGCATCCTTACCGCGCGTCCCGATTCCACGGGCTGGCTGTATCGGCGGCGGCCTCCGCCGAGGGATGGTGGTCCCGATCCCGGCGACGGTGGTGACGTCCGGACTTCTTCGGGGGCGGCAAAGAGGGGGGTGCTGACTAGGGGGGGGTGGATATGGCGGGGGCCATGATATTTCCTCAGATTTCATGGCGCCTCTTCTTATTCCATTACGTCCCTGGCCCCCCCGCTGGGCCGCGCACATGCCGCCGGTCATGAGTTGCACCCCCCCTTCTTGGACACCCCCTCTTGGCCGCTCCCGATTGGGTGGCCGATCCAGCACCACCAGCACCGACATCCAGGACCACATGCCTCCGTGGAGGCAAGCCCCTGGGATGGTGCTGCTTCCCATTTCCAGGCTCCCCAGGGTCCTCGAGGTCGTTCACCAATATCTGGTGAACAGGCTGGACCCCAGGAGAAGTTCTGGACTTCCAGGACCCGTTTCCTTCAGGGTCCGTTTGTTTCATGCCAATCATCATTTGCACATCCTGGCGTCACAAATAAATCGAGGCGGCCAGTTGTTTGCAATTGTTCGGCAAGTGGACGTCGTTTCGGGGGCCTGGGCCATCAGAGTAGCGACCTAGTGTGCAATAATATATATATATATACATATATATATATATATATATATATATATATATATATGTATGTGCTGGAAGGGGTCGAGAGCCCCATAGGTCCAAGTCGCGCGAAACATGTGTCCTTTGAGGGGAGCGCCGTCCCTTATCATCTTCCTCATCCGTCCTTCCTCGTCCTCTTGCATCCCCCCCATCCCCATCTCATCATCCATCTCCTCCGTCCTCCCCGCTTCTCCGTTCTCCTTCTCCGTTTCCTCTATTCATTACCCCGTCTGCCCCTCCCAATTGGCGTCCTCACCATCCTCCTCCTCCTCCTCCTCCTCATCTTCCTCCTTCTCTTCCTCCTCCTTCTCTTCCTCCTCCTCCTCCTACTGCTTCTCCCCCTCCTCCTACCCCTCCCGTCTTTTCTCTTGTGGTTGTCCTCCAACTAACCTCTCTCTTTTTCCTCCTCCCCCCTCCCCCTCCGCTTTCGCCCCCGCCTGCGCAGCTGGCGGACAAGCTGCCGCCGCACAAGGCCGAGGAGCCCCAGCGAGGCAACGACCCGCAGACATTGCTGCCGAACAGAGCCGGCGCGGACCCGGCGCGGACACCTCAGCCCAGCGGCAACGACAGCTTTGGGATACAGGAGCGCCAAGGCAGGGGGCGGTGGCGCCCCCCCTCAGCTTACGTAACCACTTCTCAGACGGCCTCGGAAGAGGGGGGCGTTTCTTGATTTGGGGTCTGGCTCCGGACCTCTGCTTAGTGCGACTGCTTGCAGCAGTGCGTCCTACGGGGGAGGCTCCACCTGCTTGAAACAGGCGCCAAAAACAGCCAAGATCTACTCCAGGGTGGGGGAGGGGGGGTGCGAGGGCCCGCGTCGATCGGCTAACCAATGAATGAAGAAACGATCGCAGCCAAGCGAGAAGGGGGGTCCTGAGCCAGCCCCTCTGCCTCAACCCCGTTTCGGACCCTCCAGGATCAGACATTCGACGAGCTGCACTTCCAGCCTGGCCTGGCCCGGGCGATTCAGGTGGCTTGGCACGAGTTTGTCGATTCTGTTGGGGGCGCGGAGGAGGCTGGGAAGCTCTTCTTGGACGCGCTCTTCGAGAACGCGCCTTCGCTGCAGAGCATGTTCACGTCGCCAAAAGCCGTGCAGGCCGTGCGCTTCATACATGGAATGTCCGAAGTAGTGGAGGTGGTCGGGAACCCACGGTCGCTGAAGGCCACCGTGGAGACCTTGGCTTTCTGCCACTTGAACATCCATGTTACAATCGAGACCGCAGCGCTCTTCCGGAGCACAGTTATCGAACTGATGGACGACAATCTGGACGACGGTTTGGTGAGGGCAACTCGCGATGGTTTCACGGAGCTGCTGAATTACATGGGGGGCGCCATGCCGTACGTGAGAAACAATTTCGCGGGACGGCTGCAAGTCCTGAACCAGAGTTGGGCCGTCGCTAGTGGCAAGAACGAAGAGAAGGTTTCGACGAGCATTCATCGGCCCAGCAAGGAGCATGGCAGTGATGAGTCGCTGGTCGACCGCGCGATTACCACAGCGTCTGGTAAGAGTAAGGGCGGCCAAGGTGGTTGGTCCAGCAGGTTTGGTAAGAGCCAGGGGAAGAAGCATACGGTGGCCAAGGCCTCCCGGAGCAGTGACGACGACGAGGCAAGCAGCGGGAGTGGCAGCGAACACGGATTGGATCAGCGCGTGGTGGGTAACAACAGGAACATGTCTTCCCAGAAGGTGCCAAAGACGTTTGTCGAGATGTTCAAATGGAATGCCCAGGTGATGGGTTTCGGGAGCCGCCAGTGGTTAGCCCCGATCCTGCTGAGTTTCGACGTCCTCGTGAGCAACATGTCCAACCCGAGCAGGTTACAGCAGGAGTGCAATATCCTGACGCTGAAGATATCTAAAATTGCCGCGCGGGAAGAAGTGAACCTCGCCGAGTTCAAGTCCTGCATGCTGGCGTCGTTACGATCACTGCTGCCGAAGACTTGGGACTCCGCTTACGAGGTGGCCTGGAATTGGCTCTGGGACAACGTCGAGAAGCTCCTGCGCAAGAACATGGGCAACCCGGTGGTCTGGGAGAAGGCGTTGTACAGATATTACGCTTCCATCGACGAAACCCAGCGTCATTCTGTACGCAGGAAGATATACGACCGCTTCTTCGAGGTGGCCCCAGCGGGCCAGGAATTCTTCAAGCAGTCCGACACTAGGCTGCATTTCATCGCCGACAGGATGCTGCAGATGACTCAGGATATCCCATTGAGGGGGGTCTCGGTCCGCGAGCGTCCTAACGGGATTCGCTAAACCTCCCTCCTCCGTCCTCCTCTTCCTCATTTTCTCCATCCTTCAGGAGATCTACCAGAAGCCAGGCGAGATGGTGGATGACATCTCGGCCCTGGGCCTGAGGCACGTCGGCTACGCTATTCCGACAGATCTCGTCGCCCCGTTCGTCACATGTTGCATCGAGGTGATGCGGGGAGCGAGGATGGAGAGGAAGAGGCCGAGGGAGAGGGTATTGCTTGGGGCGGTCGACGGGGTGGGCAAGGAGGAGGAGGAAAAGGAGGAGGAGGAGGAGGAGGGCGAGTTTGAGGAGGAGCAGGTCATCAGAGACACCACCGACGACGAAACGATCATCCAGGCGTTCCGCTGGTCGCTGAGCCTCATCTCGCAGATGCTCGTCGGGACCATCAAGGAGGGCTCGACCGTCGTCATGCAGGCCATCAACTCGAACTCTCAGAAGATGGTGAAGGCCGCCCTGCGGGAGGCGCCTCGCGGCCAGCGGGCCAGGTGGGTGCTCCGCATCCAGGTGGGCTCGCAGAGCATCTCGCCCCTTCGGTGGGCCCTCGAGAGCGGCAGCCACGTGGCAGCCCAGGCGATCATAGAGGACCTCCTGACGATCCGGGCAGACCGGGACAAGTACTACTACGGGGTCGAAGACATCTTCGAGCACCACCCGGACATAGTCGATGTGCTGATCGAGCACGCCCCAAACCTCATCACGGTCTTCTTCGACGGCCTGGTCTGGCGTTCGCGCTTCTCCGAGGGCGGGCTGCGGCGGGCAAACTTCTACATCAAGCACCTATTGGTGAGCGAGAGTGGGGGGGTGTCCGACGCCCTCGATCACCTAGTGCGCTCCCACGACCCGGTTCTCATATCGCACCCGGTCATCATTTTGGTGTCCGACATTTTGTGGAGGGGCATCGTGCAGCGGGCTTTCATCGTGTCGAAGGTATGGTTCGTGCTGAGCTTGCTGAACTTTATGCTCGGTGTCGTAGTCTTGCCCAAGACGAGTGTTGCTGAGGACCTGCCAATACGCTGGGTCATGTTCTGTTCCCGGATGTTGACGTACACATGCACGATGGGGCGGTTGATGCTTGAACATTTGACAGATTGCATCGCTGGCTATCGCCGCCAAGATGGCACATTCAAGGTCATGTGCATACCATTTCCCAGGTACCTGCAGGACGCCTACAAGCAGTCATCGTTGATGCTTGGGTTGCTGCTGGTGTGCATGTGCTGCAACGAACCGATGCTTCACTGCGTGGAGCACATCTCCGACGGCGGGCCGACGGAAGCTTGCGCCACTGATGAAATCGTGCACCGTTACTCCGTCTTCTGCATGTTCGCGTGCACGTTCCATTGGGCTCTGCTTGCAGACTTCGCCGTGTTCAGCACAGGCTTATCTGCATTCAGGCTTGTGATCTTGGAGGTGATGTCTGAAATCGGACGCTTCATCTTGGTCATGTTCTTTATCCTCTTGACCGCCGCCAGTGCCATCGTCGTATTGGAGCACAGCTACGAGGCCTTTGACGGTGTACCTATGACGATGGTGGGACTATTTGCCATCACTTTGAGGCTGTACGAGGACGACTACCGTGACATTGAAGAAGCGGTGCTTATCGCCTTCCTCTTCACATTCATGACCTGCTCCGCGGTGATACTGCTGAACCTGCTGATCGCCCAGCTCAACCAGTCATACAATTTGATCAACGACAATGCCGTCGGCTATGCGCGCCTGAAGCGAGCCGAGGTCATTGTCGACACTCTGAAGACCCTGCCCCCCGCAAAGTGGGCGGCCTTCGTGGAGTCCCTGAAGCTCGAGGAGCCCCTGGAGTTCGTCCAGGGGGACGTAGGGATGGGCGGCGGCGTTCAGCGATACGAGCCAGCAACGGAGAACGTGGTGTCCTTAGACACCGTCCTGAGATACGGCGGGGCTCGCTCTGTGGATGCACCCTGGCCGGAGGAGAAGGAGGAGGACGACAAGAAGGAGGATTCGTACGAGCGCATCGAGCGCCTGGCCATGATGACGCTCCGGCGGCTGCAGAAGGCCTCGAGTGATAAAACAATTGGATGACCACAGTTTCTCTGAGGTCCGCGCAGATGTCCTGGATCGGCGCTGGGCCCCCCAGGCGGCGCCTCGGGCGCCGCCTTAGCGCGCTCCGCGCGCCATGCAGGGGCCTCCAGCGCCGGTCCAAACAATCCGCGAGGACCTCCGAGAAGTTATGTTTATGCTTGTTTTGTTCCTCCACTCGGCTACGCCTAAGAGTTACCCTTCGCCAGAGTGACCTGTGGTGCGGGCAATCAGGGGGCCCGCCAGCACATGGCTGGCGCGCTTGGATTGCGTGGACTTGTTCTCCCCCGCGGCCCCCCGAAGCCGCGCCCCAAAGGCCACTCTTGCCCAGGGTGGCACTTGTGAGCAGCCGATCCAAGGCCGAAAAACGAGGCGGGCGCCATCGGAGGAGCTCCGCGGACGGGCGCAGCGGGGGCGACTCGGGCGGCTCCGTGAACAGCTGGAGCTCCAAGAGCAGGAGCGGGGACGACACCGGCAGCTCCGAGCCCTGAGGGGTCTGCGTGGGCGGCCACCGTGGACCTGCAGCCGCTCTGAGGGCTCTGCCCGGGGCTGCTCGAAGCTGTGGTCGGGGACTGTGCTGTTTGTCCTTTTGCGTCTTTCCGCCGGGGTGACGTGGCAATGACGCCGATGAGCACGATGGCCGAGGCGGGGACTTGTCCATCGCCACCCCCCGGGGTTTTCTGATCTTCGGGGACCTCCGCAGGCGGTGGAGAACCTCCACCGACGGTTGGGGCCCCACGGCGTCGGCTGCCCAGGCGGTGTACATGTGTAAGCCCCCGCCCCGCACGGTGGGGGAGGAGGGTGAGGAGGAAGAAGGGGAGGGGTGATGGGATTGCCCAGCTGGTGTTCGCTGCCAAGGGTTCGTCTCTTTCAACTGTCGTTTCACCCTGCTGATTTGCTGGCCAATGTGATGTAGGCTGCTACCAATGTTTGCTTATTGTTCTGAATGAGTTTGTCCGCGCATGATTGCCAGTTGTATGCGTGCTACTTTGTTTTACCGCTGGCGACGGACCCGACACCGATTCCGCCGTGCAGGTGCGAGAAAGCAGGCGTCGGAAGGAACGCTCGCAGAAGCCCCGAGCGAACCCCAGAATCGTCAGATTTGCGTCCAACACCGAGACAATCACTGCACTGCAGCCGTAGAGCTTTTCTTCTAGGAGGTACGCATGCTAGTACAGCCTGGCAGATGGTAAAGAAACCTCCGATCCTTCTTCCGCAACTCCACAGGGCTGGCTCAGTCGTTCAGCCTCTTCCACAAGCCCTACGTGAGACGGCCCATCCGAATTCCCCAAACTGGACCTCCAGGAGGCACCCAAGAGGCAACAACCATCACAGTCCAACCAAGGTACAGTGACTTAGTGACTTTGGCATACTCGCCTATTTGGGCTTCAAGCGCTCCAAGATCGCTCCGAGACGACCCGAGAACCCGAGACGAGCACAAGATGGTCCCAAAGAGGGCTCCCCGACTTGCTCGCGATGGCCCTGTATCGAAGACGACCCAAGATGGCCCCAAGACGGCCCAGGAGATTCCCTGAAGGCCCCCATGAAGGCCCAGGAGGGTGACCCCCCCACCGACATGATACGCAGACGACTCCAACAGGCCATAAGAAGGCCCCATGAGAGATCCAAAACAGCCGAAATCGGTACCACACCAAACGGACGCATACGTTATAGAAAACGCGCAGAGACTCCTCCCATGCCCTATGCCATTCCTGGCCAACTCCCACGGGATCTCTCCATGGCTCAAGAGAACGTCCAAAGTAGCTGAAACTCCGCCCCATAGGGCGCCCAGACCACCCACGACGGTCCTAGTATGGACCAAGATTGCCCCATTCGAGTCCAAGACAGCCCAGTTGGCTCCACTTTGAGACCACTACTTCCAAGTTAGCCACATAGAGCCGCAAGGCTCTCAACGTCTCTCCAGCACTGCTCCCGCACGCCACGACACAACTCAAGCTGAGGCAACACAACTCCAACACGCCCCCCCAAAGGACCATCAGTACGCCCCCCCAAAGGACCATCGAGGCAAACAGAGTTCTAGACGGTATGAGTTTGCACAGCGCTGGCTACAGTTTTCGGCTGCAGGGGCAACAGTTCAGGATCATCTCCCGAACTCCACGCGCGGCCTCGCGTAAGTCCCGTTCACTTCACACATCGGACTGCTTTGCGCCCATCTCCCACGGGTGTGTTCTCATGGATCCGTTGTGCCGTGCAGGCTGCATCTTAGCATTGCTTCAACCGTAATCCCAATGACTGTGTCTCCAAACCTCCCAAGTATCTCGATCAACAGTGAAACTGCGAAAAACATAGCAAATTCGAGCATAGTGTGTATACACACCTGTGCTTATCATGCGTAGTGATGTATACAGGTTTGCCCACCCATGTTAGCCATGCTGGATTGCAAACAGTGACGGTTTTCACTGTGGAGGTGAAGTCTATGCGAGGTAAGCTATGTGGTGCAAGGTATGCCGTGTAAGCTATGTGGCGTGAGCCAAGAAGGTGGAAGCTTTGTGGTGCAAGTTGCGCTGCAAGCTGTGTGGTGCACGCTACGCTTGTGTAAGCTAAGCGGTCTAAGCTACGCGGTGCAAGCTGTGCCGCGTAAGCCATGGGGTGCAAGATACGTGGTGTACTCCAGATTTCGTAATAAAAGGGAGGGGGTCTGGACCCTCCAAGACAAGCCGTTTCAGACCTCCCCCGTGGGAGAACCCTCCAAAACATCGTCCCCAGACCCCCCAGGCCCTCCAAGATAGCCTGGAAGAGACCCCCCCCCCTCCCGTAATGAGACTCCCCTCCCTTTATTTTACGAAATCTGGTGTAGGCTCAGCGCACGGGGCGCCCACGAGGTGGCACGAGCAGCAACGTGGCGCAGCCTCGGCCGACCCACCCAGCGCACGGCGCGCCCACGAGCGCCCACGAGAAGCGGCAAGGGCGGCAGCATGGCGCAACCTCGGCCGACCCACAGAGCGCACGGGACGCCCACGAGCACCTCTGAGGCGGCACGGGGCGGCAACGTGGAACATCTCGGGCCAACCCGCCCACTCGCTTCAGTTAGAAAACGATGTGCCCTAAGGGCCCGCACGATTTATTTATATGACGGCGCACTGGGCTCGGGGGCCGAGGGCCGGAACCTCGACCGCAGATGTGGGTGCCGGGGCCAGGGCCCGCCCCTGGGAGTCCTAAAATCGTCCCGGGGAAGCTTTCAGACAGCAATCCCGGCGGCCCCAGACGGTCTCGAGACACCCCCAAGACGCCGTCCAGGGTTCTCTGGCGACGCGCGATGCGCTTTAGATCGCCCTGGAGGCCCCCAAGAGGCCCCAAGAGGCCTTTAAGACGCCGCCCAAGAGCGCCCCGAGAGGGCAAAATCGTTGATTTTCATATGTTCTTTCAATGATTGTTGCATTCTCACTGTTTCATGTTTCCGGCGCTAAGGCACCGCCCAAGAGGCTCCCAAAACCGCTCCAAGACGGCCCAAGAGGCCCCGAAGAAGGTCCCAAGACGGCCCAAATGAGCCCCGAGACGGCCCCAGAGCCGTCCAAGACGGCGCAAGAGGGTCCCAAGAAGGCCCCAAGAGGAGCCCAAGAGAGGTAACGCGAACTGAAAAATCAAGTTCTCCGCCCCAAGATGCCCCCAAGAGGCCCCAATAGGCCCCCTGAAAGCCCCCCAAAGGCCACAAGAAGCCCCCAAGAGGTCCCAAGAGGCCCCCCAGAAGCCCAAAAGAGTCTCCAAGAGGCCCCAAAACGGCACCCAAAAGGCTTCAAAACTCTTTCTAAGAGGCCCCCGAAGACATGCCAAGAAGGTCCCATGACGATTTCAAGAAACAGTACAGGATGCTCCGAGGAGGCCCCAAAAGAGGCCCCCAAGAGAGCCCAAGAGGCCACCAAGAGGCCTCCAAGCGGCCTCTAGCAGCATCCAGGAGGCCGGAAAGAGACCTCCAAGAGCCCAGCGGTCCAGGCGGGGGCCGAACGAACATTTCCAGCCCCGGGCTCCCGGAAGCCCAACAGGAAGCCCCACGTAATTCGCAAGACCCCTCCCCCGACGCTCCCGAGACGCCCAAAAGGCTTCCCAGACAGCCCAAGATGCAAGAAAAGAAACTGCGATGCCCAGGGGTGCGTTTGACAAGAATTTCGAGACGAAGCCAGCCTTGGCCACGAAGAGCGCCTCGGAGGCGGAAAGAAAGGTCATCCGGTTGCGGAAAAGGGGGGTCATCGGGGGGCGGAAAGGGGGTTCATCCTTGAGCGGAAGGGGGGGTCACAGCGACAGATGAGCGATGTCAAAAATGAGGTTTGTTTGCGTGGACATTCATGCCCAGGCTGCCCGCGTACAGTGGCATGCAAGTGTGCCATTCTTCGCTTGGTCTGCCGAGCGGCCTGCCCGCATAGGCCATCGCGCAAGGTCGCCGAATCCTCGTGCGTACGACCTCGTTTTTCGTTGTCGCTTAGTTGTCCGGGCAGTTCCGATGCTTCAGAATTGCCGCCAGGAGACCCCCGAGAGGCTCCTCACGAGATCCCAACGAGCGTACAAGAGACCTATGCCCCATAACCCAGGAGCCTCCAAGGAAGCCCTGAAGAACCACGCTTGATGATCTCGTCGTTTTGCTTCTGACGATCCTAAAGGCCTCAAGATGGTTTGCGCCGCCCGGGAACCTTCCAAGATTGCCTCAGTGAGGCCCCAGGTGGCTTGAAATCGGGCCTCCAGCCAAGACGGCCAATCATACCGCAGAAAATCGCCAGCTGACTGCCCGGAAAAACCCGGCGACGCCTCCAAGAGACCCCAAGAAGCCCTTAGAGGCCCCCCCAAGAGGCACCCAAGATATGCCAAAGACGCTCCAAGAAGCCTTGAAGGTGCCTCCAAAAGCTAATTCAAGAAGCACCGAAAACCCCATAAGATCTTTCAGATGCCCCCAAGAAGACCCAAGAGGTCTCCAAGAGACCCCTGGGAGGCCCCAATAGGCCCCGAAGAAACCTTCAAGATGCCTCCAACAGGACCCCCAAGAAAGAAAGCACATCCATGAACAACTAATGAAAGACTGCACGTTCTTCAAGATTTCGCTGTTTCGCTTCCGACGGGCCTCGGAGGTCCCCATCAGCTCTTTGTGCTTTGCCCCATTGTGGAGAGCGGTTCGATCCCGGTATTTCCATGGAACCTGGGGCCTTCTGCAAAGAGGCTCGCGTTCCTGACCTACGTTCTTATAGCGGTTTCTCCATTCTACTCCATCCTGCAGAACCCCGACGTCGTGATTGGTTCACAGCGTCGACACCCACAGGTCTGGCCCCCAAGACAGCCTCCGAAGACGCCAGACAGGGTGAGAGAGCCTTTAACCAGACCACAAAGAGCCCGAGGGGCTCGAAGGTACCTCGATTTTGGAATCGTTCCGAAACCGAGGTTCTTGACAGATGCCAGCGTGCGCGCGCGACGACGCCCGCGCGCGCACTTCGTTTCATTTTTTCTCTTTAAACATGTTTTTTTTTTCTGCAGAGGGATTCTTGCGACG